GGTCATGGGGTGGGGGGTGACCTTTGCAGAGACACTGTGACTTTGCCCTTTATGGGTGACAGTGTCTCTCTAATTGCCATTTTGGAATGGGATGTCTAACAAGTTCATATAAGTGTGATGGCCAGGTGTCCTTACACTTTTGTCCACACAGCGTATATGAATTGTGAGGTTCCTGTACTGTCTACTCCATCACAGGTTTGCAATTACTGAGCTACAGAAGTCTGCTACATGGTTGCCGTATGTGAATATTCTGTACATTCCATAAGGAAGCCTGTTTACTCCTTTTGCTGAGATTGTTAGTGTTGGACTACAAGTAAAAATAAGGCCTTCTCTATAATGCACACCCCAGACCTTGCAAAGCTCAACGCATTAAACAAAGTCCAGATTTGCTATGGCACTCAGTAAAGTAATAGAAGCCAACCACAAACTTTGTACATAAAACTGAGCAGATTTTTAACAAAATAAAAAGTTTAAATACAATTGCAAATTAGAGGAATGTTGATCTGGTGAACAACCTTTTGACCTCTGCAGTTATAATCAAAGAAGATAATTGTTGGATAGTTGGGAACATTTAAGATAATATCCCCCTTGTTTATCCCTGGTGAATGTGTGCAGTACACAGCAAGCCTAGAAAAGGTCAGACAATGCTTTCCTGCAGCACTTTTTCCTGGCACTTCTCAGTATTACCCTGGTGGCCATAGTAATTATGTAAGAAAGGAATTCCCAACAGGTTTATGCAGTGTGGGTAAGCAAAGAGCAGACAGGATGTATAAAGTGCAGTAACCTATAACCTTGCAGATGACGTGAGTTCTTATCCTGTGGCTTTCAGCATACATATTTTTATTCCTCATTATAGTGTTTTACTGAATACATTCACAAGTGTCCTCTTTGCAAGCTGGCAGTTTTGCAATAGTGGAAAGGAGGCAAGACATACAGTGCTATGGGCTGTAAACGTCTTGACAATGTTGCGCACAGTGGACACAGGAACATTAGGATCTCTGGAGATGGCTCTGTAACCTTGAGATTTTCCATGCTTTTCCACAAAAACTTGGAATGCAATTATTTCTTGCAATTTGGAGAATGTGCCAATCATTTTGTCCGGTCCATTTTTGGAGTTTTGCGTGGAATGTGTCAGATTTGGCTTTTTTATTCTCCACGTTTTTATGTCAAACTACTACAAATAAAAGAAATAAACATGAGAATGCCTAAACGTTTGTCATAGCAACAATTTTCTGCGCGAAGTGGTGCATTATCTGACAGAAATGCAGGGGTGCCAATAGTTCTGGCCATGACTGTAGAATACAGCACTTGTATATACAAGATGCACCAGAAACCCAACTAGGCTTAAATCGCCATTCTATAACAAATATTAGCCATGGCTATAGTTCTATTCAGCTATGAGAGCAGAACATAGAAACCAAAAATACATGTCTTTATGTCATAGTCTCCGTGCTGTTGACTCTATAGTCTTCCGTGTTGCAATTGCTGTGAATTATACAGTCCGGCGTTATTTTGATGTCCTTGCAGATTGTGTTTTGCTGAACAGCTGCAAGATCTCTGCTAGACGCGTTCAGTGCCAGCTACAGCATCTTAAAAAAGCTGGTGCAGTAACAAAGGTTTCGAAGAAAAATAACATAATGCATGACGTCCTTAAAGCAATCCTAGTCGAAGATTGACTTTGAGAGGTCTGCTTTACTGCTCTCATAAAGTTACACCTTGGAAATACTTACCTCTGCTGGATCAGGCTCCATTTGCATTCAGCCAGCTGGTAGCTGCTTCTCTGACCTTTTCGATTTCTCCTTGATGGCTGAACGCGGGTTCTGTGTCAGGCAAAGGCACTAATAGGCTACTTAGGTGGACCAGGAGGGAGGATGCTGTAGCAACCATAAGTACTTTAAACCGGTAAGATACTTTTATGTCAGCAACAGGGGAAGCAATGGACTTTAACTCAGGGCAAAACTTTTATTATCCCTTGCAGTGGAGATACCCCCACATTACAAGGGTTAACTGCTTGTTTTTGTCTAGGTGCTTAAAAATACCCAAAAACCTCACCTGAACTGCTGAGCTTGGCTCCCTGCTTCTCTGGTCTCTGAAGCCTGTCTCCTACACTGCAGCATTGGAATGTTCCTCAGCGTCCTTGTCTATACACTGTTTAGAATGTGATGATTTCTGGGACCTTAGACTGCTGCAGCGCAGGGGGTGAGAGGCTGGATCGACCACTCTAAGGCTGCGTTCACACCTGACCGTTTTGTAGCGCGTCCTACGCTCGACGAACGCGCTACAAAACGGTCAAAAAAATAAATAGCATTGTAGTCAATGCCCTCGTTCCCACCTAGGCGTATTTCCGCCCGTCCCTAACGCCCTACAAAACGGCCCACGCCTGAAAAGGTCCCGGGACTACTTTGGGCCAAGTAGCCTTTGGAATCACGCAACTTTTTTTAGTTCGAATCGCTGTAAAAAACCCGCGTGACGGTCGCGCGACAGACGCGCATATTACAATACGCCTAGGTGTGAATGGGGCCTAAGAGCAACCTGGCTCGGGAGGATTGAGTTAGTACAACTTTTTTACAACAACGAGCAGTTAACCCTTGAAATGTTTTTCCCGGAGTTCTTTTTTAAGGTCTACTTTAGTGTCAAGTTCATAAATATAGCAGCGTTTAAATAAAATGTGCTGTTTTAGAGAGCGGCCTCGTGACATAATATATTTTGAAAGGAATGTATAGATTTTTATGGTATTACTTTATAGACATGATAAAGAGATCAGTGTGTGGTAAGTAATTTTCTCAAATGAATCAATATTCTCAGTCTCATCAATGTTTAACAAGCTTGTTTCTTTGTATAGTTTGTAAATACATATTATATATGGGGGGATGCTTAGTTGTTCTGCATCTTGTTTGTCACTGCTACACAATGGTTGTGCTTTACTGATTCTTCTCGCAATGCAAGTCTGAGTCAGCTGACTCACCAAGATCAATGCAATTCTTGTCTGCCTGATATCTAAACTCTAAAGTTTTTATTAAAAAAACAGGAAACGTCACTATGTAGCTGGTTTGCCTCTAGTGGATCATCTACAATTCTCTATAGTTTATAGAATAACAAACAAAATGGAAAAACATGCATTAAGAATGTTACTTACAGCAATAACTGAGCGCAATTTGGCGTAACATTTATCAAGGTTTTCTAATTTCACTGTCATTGGGGTTGATCTTCTAAAGCATCTTCACTTTGCAAGGGAATTTTCACTTAGCTTAGTGAATGTGGTGAACGTTCACTTTGCAAAATAATACCAAATCACTTGCAAGGAAAATGGAAAAAAACTTAAACTTTGCCTGGACATGATTGAATGATAGAAGTCAGCAGGGCGTCTCCGCTTTCACTAAAGCTGGTCACACACCTATAGATTATCTGCAGATATTCTATGGTCAGATGGAGAAAGATTCCTCCAGCTACCCTAAATTGTGTGGATGGAGGAATGCCTGCATCCAATCAGGTTGTTTGGGTATTTATTCCAGCCACTGGGGCTGACTAGCAAGATACTGAAGCTTGGCCCAGTGGGAGATTCCTCCATCCACACAGTTTAGCGTGCATGGAGCAATCTGTTGCACTTTTTCCATCTGGCCATAGAAAACCTGCAGACAATCTATAGGGGTATGGCCAGCCTAAGCTAAGTAAAAATTCCCCTTCAAAATGAATATGCTTTACTCCAAGCGTAGGCAACCTTGATGCAGCTGTTGTGAAACTACAAGTCCCATAAGAAATTGCAAGACTGCAGGCATTATACCCTATAGTGTGTTCATTTTTGCTTATTCAACTTCCCAGTCTTCTTGGAAACACTGCATGGACTCTTGATTGAGAGAATGTACGTTGGTTCAGCCAGGCAAAGCTGTGGCGTCAGCAGCTTTGGACACAAACTAGATCCCCTTGCGGCAGCAGGTCTGAAGTTACATAATCACTGCAAAAATAATGTAAAATATGTGAATCACTGAAAATATAGTATATTTACCAGAGTAATAATTGGTGATACAAGAACAATGACATCTAATGACAATAATAAAAATACTGCTGCTGTTCTCTCATAGTACAGTCTGATTAGACTAATTGGCAACAGGACAAACTGAGTGGCTTAACCATTATCTCATCGAGTGTTCAACTGGGTTGTTGCTTGTACAGCAAGTGCACGAATAGCCCAGATAGCTATTAAAATAGGAATATTCATCAAATCTCACAGAACTGGACAGTGCTATTCATCACGCATGGTGTCGGATTCCTCGCATCACCTTTCAACATCTCATGGAGTCAATGCCAAGAAGAATCGCCGCAGTATTGAAGGCAAAAGGTGGCCCAACGAAGTACTGATGGGGTGGTCATAATAATCTGGCCACTCAGTGTATATAAGGAATATGATCAGACCTGACAGGGATCTAGGCATTGCACCCCATTCTCCCTCTACCCTGCCCATAGATAGGAAAAAATGTCTTGGCTGGAGGTATAGCTGCATTAACTCCTCCGTATAACATTTTTAGTTATTTGGGGAAAATAGTATGATTATGTGGTGACGTAACAGTGCAGTTTAACCACCAGACTGTGAATGGTAACCTATTATTTTAATCAAATTGTTGTGTATCTTTACCATTTTATTAGCGTTCACATTTTACCAGGAAGGTACACAACTGGTCCTGGCTGTCCTGCTCTACCTTGTACATGTGCTGGATTCCCACTGACTCTCGTAACGCTCCTTGCTGTATGTAATCGGCAGCTATAGATAGCAAAGGAAAAGCTCCTTACAGCAGAGAAACCTCTTACTAGTCACTTTCCACAAATGGTACAAGCAAAGGTCTTAATGAAAATCCCTCAGTGGTATTTAATGCTAACTGTTGCTGGCACCTGTGTCACAGTGGCTGAGGAGGGAGAAGCGAGTCCCAGGGATAGAGGGTAGAAGTCCTGTGACCTCTGTCCCAGCACGGCGTATTTCTCATACTTGCTAAGACTCAGTGGCAGCCATGTGTGATATGGGAGGACTAGATAATCTTATAGCCAACACAGCTTACCTGCAGGCCAGGAAAAGCAGTGAGGGGGACCTGAGAGAGTTGCAGAAAAGGCGTAAGAGCCTGTCTTTGCCTCCAACGGATGTTTGTCGCAAGGAGATAAAAGACACCATTCCTGTTGACTTCCAGAGCATCTGCGTGGAGCAGCCCATTGGACGACGAGTGTTCAGGGACTTCTTGCTCTCAGTACCAGAGTACCTGGTAGTTCAGGAATTCCTGGACGAAGTTAATGACTGGGAGCTGGAGGAGGGCTCTGCCAAGGAGCAGCTACTACAAGTTTTGATGATCAAAAGGTTTAAACAGGACTCTGGGGAACGCCTGCCTTGTTTTAGTGAAGACCTTTCCAAACGCTTTCAAAATGCACAGGGCGCTGAGATCCCACCAATGGTTCTGCTTGCCAAGGACGAGGCAAATGCCTACCTTGGAAAAGAGCCATTTGAGGCCTACCAAAACAGCGACTACTATGACAAATTTCTCCAGTGGAAAGCCTTTGAGAGGCAGCCAATCACCCATAAATTTTTCTATGAATTTAGAGTGTTGGGGAAAGGTGGCTTTGGAGAGGTAAGAACACTTGATATCACAATTCTGCAATATACAATATAATGCACTGTACATCTCAGTGTTGTTATGCCAGGCTGGATGTGTTGATGATTCAGAAAATATTTAAAAATGTATTGTGTATTCTGTAATGGCGTGTATAGCATGAGGCCCACTACTTTACCAATGGAAGCGCAAGCTAGTTTTTGTCTTAGTAATTTATGATTGTGCATTCACACGGGTACAGGTCAAAGGACTGAATAACGGTGCTTTGGCGATATAAGCTTCATCTTTTACTTGATGGATTGGTTGTTGCCCAAATAAGTAGATCCAAAGGATGATCATCTATTTAAAGAAGGATTATAGGGACTTTTTATTATCAGAGCCTTGCCACCAAAAAAGCAAACATGTTGAGAGTGTGTAGCCTTGGAGGGGCAGCCCACCTAATCTGATATTTCAGTTTTTGGTAGACACTGGAGAGCTAAATCACCCAACAATCTCTTACATCTCTTAGCGATCCTGTTGGTGAGATATCCGTGTTTTTGTTTTTGGATCAACACACCTACTGTAACCCACTATCTGAGCTGGTTTTTCTTTTTAATGAAATATGCATCCTGAGGTACTGAGATATCTAAGTTGGGTAGACTGACCCTTTTGCCTCCCAACAATTCTGTCTCAGCTGCTGGTGTCCCAGTCTGCTTTTGGCCATCCTGAGACACACGTTTGCTTAAAGGAAATTGGTCCTTTAAAGAAGATATTTCATTATCTGCATTATGTAAAGGGGGTTCTGCTGGCATTTACAGTTCTGTGTTAAAAAAAAAAAAAAGATCTCTGGTGAATCCTCTTTATTATGGATGATTAGAGTCCCACCGGAAATAATAGAATTCACTGTAGGCAAACCCAAATCGGTGACACCAGTCATATAGGATTGGTGTAAATAGTGCACAGAGCAAAATTATGCTGAACACTATAATTACAACCCCAACAATGATCAGAATACAGCTTTTTTTCAGAATAATGGTCCTATACATATTAATCACATGAAACTTCTTATGTTGATACATGAATATGACTAAAATTGCTTTTACATAACTTCATGTAAATGGTGTAATATGGGCTTGGTTGCTCTGTAATGACTGGCTGCCATCTTATATGCATAAATAACTTAATATAATAATTAATCTTAAACCAGCCATAGAATGGCCCGATGAGCAACCAGAATCTGAGATTAAAAACATTTATGTATTTGAGACATTTTGAGGACTTTATTAATGGTGATAAACCTGCTGTACTAAGCAGTAATGACTGGTATGTGCCATGATGGTCGCTATTTTCATATGTAAGAGTAGAAAATAATAGTCACATAGTTGAAAATACAGAGTGTTGCGGCAAATTTCAGGGATATCTGAGCACCAAGAGCACACCACACTTATACTGAGAATAAAGCAGTTATTCTTGTCACAAAGAAAGATGCCAAGTTTTGGTCACTGTTGCCTTGATGAAGGGATCATTTTAGTCCCCATTCACATCATAGTGTATTGGGAACGCCGGTCAAACCCGCACAAAAGTGCAACCTTTGATGCTTGTTTATGAAACGTGCATCAAATGCAGAATGCACTTGCGGTGCCATTACTAGTTAATGGCACCCCAAATGCGTTTGAGCAGATGTGCTTTTTTCCTGCACATTCGCATACAAAAGAACACACATGAACATGCAGGAAAAAGCTTGGAACGCATGACACAGAATTTGCTACTTGCACTATTTTCCCACATTTTGCGCACGCTAAGGAATCTATTGAATTTCAATGGAAATGCGCACCAAACTCGGGAAACGTGCAGGAATGCACATCACCACAACGCACGTTCCCGCTAAACTATGGTATGAATGAGGACTAAAGGCCTGAAATGTTGCAGCTTTCTTCATGACGAGAGAAAAAGTTTTCCCTTGGTATTATCATGGCACAATGGTAATGCTTGGATATCCCGGAGTCTCCCGAATACCAATGACTCTTTACTGCAGCACCCTTTTACTATTTGGTCTACACACTGCACGGAGTGCGTTAAATGATATAATCTTTTGTGTTTTGGCAAGAAACGCATGAGTTGTGCCTTAGTGGATTGAGTGCACAGTGTGTATTGGTACATGGAATCTATTAGAATTCCTTATAATAGCAGTCTTTGACTATACTTGATGTAATCCCAGATTTTGTTGCAGATTGTGGCCATTCAGGGTCATACACATTACAAGAGCATTACAATTATTACATAAGTCTATGGAGACAGATTGCTTAGCTGACTATCAGAGACATTGGGCCCAATTCATTACTTTATAACACGTGCTATTTGCCATAACAACTGTAATGTTCAGCCATGTGACTGCTGCTTTCATTTCTTATTGGTTCTCACTGCTAAAAACAAGGGTCACTGTAGCAAATAGCGATCATTATAGCTTGGTTTATTGAGCCTATTGTATGAAGAATGTGAACATTTACTGTACAATTCTCAGATTTGCATCAGACAGTGATAGCAATGAGATACAAATCTGTATGACTGCATGACAATGGAGAGAGAAATGAAAAGCAAAGGCCCATAGTCACTGGAATCGCCATATTGCTGGCAAGCCTCAACTTTCCCCATAAACGTTTAAGTTCAGAAGGAGACTTATAGGATTTCTTTTGCAAGAGCATCTACAGCACTAGATCACCACCAGAGAAACTCAAGTGTGTCACAAAAATCAGACTTGGCTTACTTATTCTTCTGTGCTGTGTTCTCCAGTTAAGTGGGCAACGCCATTTAAGAATGTATGTTGTATTTTAGTGTGGCCTGTAAAACCGAGAAGTATGTCCATGGCCGAATTTTTGGTGTCAAGCGTATTTGTGTGACATCTCAGGTGACATCTTGCACGGTACTAAATGGAGCTTGTGTAAAATCCACAGGATCCTGCAACATGACAATGGTGAGTATCCATCAAGGGGTTAAGGTTATATAAGATGGATTAGTAGGCTGTTTAGGGTTACAGGGAGGGTTAGTTTGAGGGGCCTTAGGGCTATTCTAGAAAACTTGTCTGTTGGCAACTCACCAGCGACAGGATCTCTAAGAGGGCCCCCTCCAACTTCTAAACCGTTGCTCTGGCTGAAGCAATCAACCATCGCGGTGTTCCTTCATCACTGCGTCCTTGCTGTTGAGGGAGATTCTGCCGTGTTTCAGAGAGCAAGGAAGCAGTGCTGTTAGGGTCCCTGGACTGACAGGGAGTCACTACCATCAACAGGATCACTAGTGTGACATGGCCTTCAGGGCACGGTATTACCCCTGTATCGAGAAGCTACCAGTGCCTATCACTCAGCATTATAAGCTAATTTGTTTTTAAAATATCCTGTACTTTTCAATGTTAAAAAACCACAGCGCAATTGTTTGCGGTCTGACATCCACCTAAAGAGATATTGCCGTCCATTCTTTCTAGATAGGATTGTGATCTCTGCCATGTCTTTTGAATATACAAGACCAGAACTGTGTAAAAAGTTCACTTGCATCTATATTGGGGTTAACTTGATATTGTGCTAGATAAGAACTGTGTGTTATATGCAATACATAGGGACCCACATATAAACCTTCCACCCAGCGTAAAAATTAGCAAATGTTGTTCTCACAACATTACCGCCACTAGATGGTGCAAAGGTGCATAGGGACTTCTATGCTCCTCAGTGCCATCTAGTGGCGATAATGCTATGTGAACGGCATTCACCTACAGGGTTATTCACAAAAGGGTGAAGAGTTTGGAGAAGGCAGGAGAAGTGAACAATCTAGGACAACATAGCTGAACTGGAAAGTGAGCTGAATTGGAAAATGTTTCCAAATCAGCTATGTTGTCCTAGATTGTTCACTTCTCCTGCCTTCTCCAAACCCTTCACCCTTTTGTGAATAGAGCTGCTAGTTTTACGCTGGGTGGAAAGCTTATACATTAGCCCCATAGTGTACTTAATGTCATCATGTCTCATCTATCCTCTCTCAGCTACAGGCCTGTTATGTGTTGAATGTCTGAAAGGAAACTGTTGCCCATTACAACCATTATGATTTCAGCTACAGTTGTTGCAGGGCAGATATGGATAACACTGAGTAAAAAAAAAGATTAGGCACTTTTTATAATAGAGGACCCTTGTTTAAGGTGCAGAAACAGTAAAATAACTGCACGGTGTGGTCTGTGCTCCTACACATCAGACTAGTTCATCAATGGCAATTTAGTATCATAGCACGGCAATGGTATATTGTGTAATTTGGTTATTGTGTATCAAAATACTGATTTATGTAGGGCTGTAGTGGAAGGGGGAGACCCCCTCAGAGCCCAGAACTGACTTTGAGATCCCCTTCCACGTTGATTGCAGGGAAATAACATCAAAGACATTTAGGGGCATATTTATAAAGAAGTGAATCTGACATTCACTAAACATTTACTGCAGGTAAAAATTACCAGGTGCATGTGTTTTTAAATGCCAGTAATTGGTTCATCACCAGTAAATGTTTGGTGAAAGTCACATTCACTGCTTTATAAATATGTTCCTTAAAATACAACATAAGTTGGGTGATTGAGCTACAGGTGATACGGAGTTGTGTTTTACATTTCATAGACTAAAGCTGGCCATACACTGCATGCAGCAGTTGGATTGCATATTCAATTTAATGTGACCCTATCAGGAGTGTTAAAATGTCTACAAAGAATACCCTGCAAAAGAAGATAACAAATACTTATCTTTGAATGAATCATCCGCTGAAGTCTTCTGCATATCCGACACTATTGTGAGTGTTGAGCTCCTAGTCCTCCTAGGCACTCACTGGTTCTTCTCACTGACCTTAATGTAACTACTGTACTTTAGAAAAAATGTGTTGAATGAATTATACATGAATGGCCTATATGAAGGTATTGACTTGGAATGTGTCTGTTGTGCTATGTGCGAGATATTCCTGGTTGCTGCCTATAATTAATATAGGTTTATCTCTGTGCCGCACATGTACACTGTGTGGGGCTGAGA